TGCCTGTGTGTGAACCGGCCCCTTCAATCCGTTTGTGAAAGGTGCCTCTATCGGGCCAAACTGCCAGTCTGAACTCGGCCACTGTATTTTCACTCTTCCCTTTGCAGGCAATAGCAACATTTCATTTGGGCTCCTTGGCCTAAAGAGATCACAGTTGCCAATTCCCACTTCATAATCACAAGGGCAATTCTCCAGCAAAACACGATCATGCACAATCTATTTACTACTGCATGTTAGGGGGTGTGGCATATGCAAATAAGTTATGCTAATGAGTTATGCTAATGAGCTCCTGCACCTCTTTTTCTACGGAATGACCCCTGCCAACAGCAGTGTGGGGGGGAGGACTCACTTTGCAGTGACTTCTACACAATAAAGGTAACATAAAAAGGGTCTCTTGGAATGTAAGATTTAGATTTTTCAGAATAAGGAAGAGTGATGCCCTGCCACGATAAACAAAAATCGGGGTGATGGGAGGCAAAGAACAAGAAAGATAACAAGGGAGGGAGATGTTAATTAAGTCAACAGGGAGAGGAAATTGTTCAGGAGCACAGACACCCAACCCTCTGGTTGGGTTTCAGCAATTAGCAAACATGGCTGCATAGTTTCCCAGGTCACATGAGACTTGCAAATTTGTTTTTTTTAAAGAAGAACCAGAATATAAGAATACAAACAGCCTGATCGTAACCAATGTTCCCTCTAAGCTGTGGAGTCTTGTGAGCAAAAATTCTACTTTGTGAGCTGCTGGCATGAAAGTGGTGAGTCAGCAATTTGGCTACTGCACAAATTAGTTTGCTCTGGAGCCCTCCTTCCTGAGCTAAGGCAAAAATGTGTGAGCTGGAGGCTAAAAAACTGTGAGCTAGCTCACACTAACTCAGCTTAGGGGGAACACTGATACTAACCTTATTTCCTCAAAATAAATCCTCTTCACTCCACTGGAATTGCTTGGACATAAACATCCTCCCGACTGCAATTCTCACGCTCCAGGTTTCCAGATTCAGAGCAACGTGCAGAAACAGGAAGCACGGAGACCTCATTATGGTGAAATAGCAAGCATGACTGGGAGTTGCTAGCCTCTGCCTATTGGCAGCTATGACACAATACTGTTAATAGCCTGTAAGTTCTCCTTTCAGCCCTTCAAGGTGGGGCTGCATGGTATAGGGGTTAAAGTTTCAGATTAGGAACAGGGAAAGCTCAACCAAATCTAACTCAAGAGGGTTTTTGTAAGGATAAAACGGAGGACAGGAGATTTACATACACTGCCCTAAGCTTCTTGGAGAAAACAGAAGACAAAATATTTTACAGAGGTCCTATATACATCATACAGGCCCGGGACACACGGGCCGGATATCGCAGGGGGGAGGCGTGGCTAATTGCCCTGGCGCAGTTTGATCTGTGATTACGCGATCAGACGTGCCGGCGGCACACCATGGGTCCTTCCCTCGGCGCCGGCGGGTAAACGAGGGACCGGAGGGGAATGCCGCGCGCCGGCGCGATCACACCACGGGCGTACGGAGGCAGCCCGTGGCATTACTAGTACCTTTGAGGTACTAGTTTTTTAACGTGCATTGTCGGCGGTAAGCCATGGCTGCGCTCCACTTCCCAGATGTTGGGGTGTGATCGCGCCCGGATAATCCGCCCACCATCCGTGCCTCTCCCGCGGCAACTTTGCCATGTGACCGGGGCCACAATGAGACTGATAACCTGTAACACTCAAGGAATCAAAGGCTTGCCTAGCATTCTCCTTGTGAATTACCCAACACGCTACTAGCTCCAATACTCACAGCAACCAGAACAGAACCTATGCTTCACCCACTGGAATGCCATTGAAAAACTAAACAAAAATACTATATTTTTAGTATACTTTTTACACTTGCTGTGACATAATTAAAGGGTAATAAAGGATAACTTATCTGTGTGATCATTTACGACCCCATGACCAAGCTTTCCTTCAGCGTGACAGCTGCTAGAAATGGGGAACAATCTACCTTTTGAGCAACCAGCCCAATCTATCAAAGAATAATGGGATAAACCCCAAACCCAGCATCGGCAGCTATTTACAGAAGTACCCCTGCGTACTGTAAGACTTACAAAGAACTTTTTAACAAGCCAACTGTTATTTTTGGAAGGGGATTTCATTATTATTTTTTACTGGCATTTCCACATTAGCACATTTAAACCGTCAAAAGTGTCTCCCGATGTTTCACAATATGCCTTAAATATTGTTGTTGTACATTCTGAGCTCAAGAGCTGGAAATCTCTAAATTTCTGGAGAGTCCTGGATATCGGTTCCATACAAACTCTCTTCCGGTAAAAGTACTCACATAAATGTGTTTTTTCCTTGTACATTGACTTAGATGTTCCAATAATTCACCCCTACAGTTCTAAGCATTACTTAATATATTTCCTTGCAAGTTCGGATTAGCCCTAGCCTGGGCGAATAGGCCTTGTGGAGGATTTGTGCGTTTTGAAGGGAACTAACCCTATTACTGCTCCACTATCCCAGAAGGATTGAGTGCCATTTGATTGACTGAAGAGTATTGTCTGCTCTTAACCTAATTATGAAAATATGCAAATACATATATAAGCTGGTCTCGACATCATGCCCAGGATCAAACATGTTTCCCCCCTGAGAGCCAGTTTGGTGTAGTGGTTAAGTGCGCGGACTCTAGTCTGGGAGAGCCGGGTTTGATTCCCCACTCCTCCCCTTGCACCTGGCTGGATGACCTTGGGCAAGCCGTAGTTCTGATAAGAGCTGTCCTTGAAAAAAGAGCCGTTCCTGTCAGAGCTCTCTCAGCCCCACCTACCCACTGTCTGTTGTGGGGAGGGGAAGGGAAAGGAGTTTGTAAGCCGTTCTGAGACACCTTTGGGTAGTGAAGGGCGGGGTATAAATCCAATCTCTTCTTCTTCTTCTTCTTCTTCTTCGAAACATTTTCTCTTTAAAAGTTCAGATGGAGAAGAATTGTGCAACTCAAAAGCTTGTGTACTGCAACTGAGCATTAGGTTTCCCTTGCTAGAAAGCCAGTCGAATCCAACTCTAGGGTTGTGGTGCTCATCTCCGTTTCCAAGCCGAAGAGCCAGCGCTGTCCGAAGACATCTCCACGGTCATGCGGCCAGCATGACTAGACGCCGAGGCGCACGGAATGCTGTTACCTTCCCACCGAAGCGGCACCTATTTATCTACTTGCAATTTCTTGCTTTCGAACTGCTAGGTTGGCAGGAGCTGGAACCAGAGACGGGAGCTCACCGTCTTGCGGCACTCGGGTCTCGAACTGCTGAACTACCGACCTTCCAGCATCAGCTGATCCCAATATAAGTTATTACCTCACAAATCTGAAATGTCTTTCTCTCATTCATCGATTGCCTCATCAGCAGACATTGCCCTGCAGCTTCGTTAAACCAGCAGGAAAAAGAAGGCGACACTGCTGTTTACAGCAGCTTTCCAAGGAATGGTCAGAGAGGAAAGGTAACTTGCAGAGGTTGTAGGACTCAATTTTCCAAGAAAAGCTACTGCTGCTTCCCCGGGGAGGTATGCCTGGCCCCCTCACTTTGAATTTAGGACCCAATTTGGTTAAGTTTACTAGCAGTCCTGAATTGTGATTTTAAATTTTGGTTTTTATGTGGTTTTTTATATATTTTATCTGTGTTGTAAGATGCCTTGAGCCCCTTAAGGAAGAATGTTTTGGATAAATAAACGAGGCATGTATAGGCTTGCCATGTCCATCTTCCACCCCCACCGGGGGACTTTGGGGGTGTTCCTGGAGGGGGCGGGGCATCCCCGACGTGATGATGTCACGTTGGGGACGTCCGCCACCCCCCCTCCGCCCGCACGCTGGAACTCCAGAAACGGCAGTTCCTTGCACTTAAAGGAGCCAGCATTTCCCTTTTAAATGCAGGAGCCGGCGTTTCCCCTTTAAGAGCAGCCGCGTTTCCCTTTTGAGAGCATGCAAGCCTGATCTCAAGCGGAGATCGGGCTTGGGAGGAAACACGGGTTCCACACACTTAAAGGGAGAGAGATGGGTGGTTGTGGGTGTTGGGGGCGGGGCTCCCCCTGCCAGCCATCTAACCCTAACCCCCCAAAAAAAACGGGGGCCCCCTGGCAAACTGGGGTGGGTGGGTTGGCAACCCTAGACATGTACGACTCTGCTCAACCAAGCCTTAAGCCTTCCTGCAGCCTAAGGGAATCTTCCTCCAACATAAGTGAAGAAAAAGCCACGGAGGCTGGAAGAAGGGTCCAGACTGTGCTGAACAGAGCGGTGAGCTACATGCCAGGGCGGGTGGGAGGCGAGGGGTTTCCCAAGACAGGGTCAAGCAAACCAGTAGAAGGGCCAAGACAAGAACCCCAGATTAGGAGCTTCCAGCCTTATTATATATAGTCCACGTCTTCCTGGTTATCTGATCATTACACTCAGTAATAATCTGTTCACAGCCGTTGCTCCTTCTCCAGCATAAACAGCGTTGAACGGGATGGGTGAGATTTCAGAAGCCAAGACCTTGGGAACAAGGGGCTCATATCCTTAGGTACCTTACCTACGCTAAGTGTCACCGGTTTCTTCACTCTCCGCCTACACCTCACCATGTGTCTCAGTAGCTCCACCTGCATGAAGCAATCACCACCATCGGTGTGATCCTGTCTCGGATCCCACAGACACATGGATCCCTCCAGAAGCAGGCCACATCCCAAGGAGTGAAGCGCTTCACTGGGTGTGGATGGGACAGTAGTTAAATCAAATGGCCCACATACTGAGCCTGCCAACGAACAAAGCCGAGAATGAGCCATTTCATCACTGAGACAACCTGGACGTTTGAAGATTGTAGGATGTCCTGTTTGAAAGCTCTGTGTATAAGTATAAACAGACGCTTTTCCGATTGGTCTGGTTTACCGTGGGAACACGGAGTGAATAGGGCTCCGCCACGATGCAAGAACTTGATGGTTAGAAAAGGGGGGGGGAGTGTGATTTCACACAGCCATTAAAGAAGGAAAGATCAGCTGTTGTACTTACATCCATGTAGTTCTTCAAAGCTTCTGGGGTTGGAGTTTCTGCGCCTGGAGCCCCATATTTGTACTTCAGCACCTCACCCATCTCAATCAGGTCTTGGATATCGTTCCCATATTCTGAATAGATGCTGCGCATGGAAGGGAACTTCTTCAACGGGATTCTGGTTTTTAAAAGACACACACTACATTAGCTGGAGCAGGTAGCCCTTCGGACCTCTCCACCCACCCACTGTTGAACTAGAGCCGGGCAGGCCTGATATTGAAACTGTTCTTTCACTTGGGGCCCACAAGTGTCAAGATAAGGGCTAAACACCAAAGCGACAGTTTCATTATCAGCACCATCTAGTGAGACACTTCCCTTTGCAGCAAAGGCTGCATCTTTTCCTCCTGAAAGACAGAAACGTAACAGGTTCTATGGGTGTCACATTCTTCACTGGTGCTTACTGGTTTGCCTGCTGTGCAGTTAAGGGATCCTTGTTAATTTGCTCCTGCAAGGAATCTGGCACTATCTAAAGGGAACCTCCCTAGTGGATCAAGTTTTAGAAGTTCCTTTAAAAAAAAAATTATTAAGTCATGCTTGCTGCAAGGCAAACTGCTGGAAATTTACTATCCAACCTTTAATTACAATACTTCTTAAGTGACACCTTTCATCTGTCAATATCTGTGCTTTTAATTCAGACTTGCATTTAAAAGAAGCACACTAAAAGGAGTCATACAGGGTAACCATTACGAGCACAGCCCAAACACCCAAGGTATAAAACTGCCATCTCTCTCCAGAGCACAAGCCCTGCTACCATTCCCATCCTATGTTTAAGCCCTTTTTATCCAGTCCACAGTCAAATCCAAACCAACCAATACATCAGTAGTCAAATTCAAATACCTTTTATTGGCATACAATATTAGAAGCATTTCCCAATAATACAATCCAAAAGAAATTATAAAATAGATAGTCGTGGCTATGTCAGGCCTAACTCAAGTTGTCACAAGCTAGATTTGACGCATCAGTAGTAACATTCACAACACTTGGGATCTTAGCGTTCACTCTTAAAAAAACAAGGTGGTGGCAAAACTTCCCGGCAAGTTCATGGTGAAGCAGGAATTTGAATGCGGTAACAACATCGGCTGTAGCGAACAAGTGGGGGGGGGGGCAGTAAAAAAGGTTTCTTAGGTAGTCAGGCTTTTGAACAGCACCACCCATCCAAAACCCACCACAGGAAGTCGAAGGGCTCTCAGAGAAAACTGCAAGTTTCACAGTTTGGTTAGGAGATGTTCACATTACAGTAAAGAGGCAGCAGGACAATTTCAATGAAAGCTGTTCAACCCGTATTAGTAACCGCAGAGAATCAAGTCTAAAACGTTGGCAAACTGGTCTTGCTAGCTTTCATAGACTGAGATGCTAGTAACCCAGTCTCACTTCAAGTTTAAGGCCTCTTTAGTCAACAGTATCGATGGGAAACGAGGGCCCATGCATTTTGGCTGGCCAGCTACTGAATTCTGGCAACACCCTGGTCACCACTTCTGTCTCAAGTCCTCAACATGGTGAAGCATTTGAGAGAGGGGTCAGTTTCTCACTTCACAGATAAGCTCTGGGACACCTAGCAGCTGCAACTCTCTCTCTGTCTCTCTTAACTAGCACAAGGCAGGAGACGCCAGGCTGAGTTTTCTGCAATGCCGGGAGTGGAAGAGCCTTCTCATTTCTTGTTGGTTGTAGAAAGAAATGTATGATTTGCACAGGTTGTGGATTCCAGTACAGAACCAACTATGGAATATTTCAGCTTTGCCTCTCAGTGTGCCCCCTTTCAAATAAATTTGGAAAAATTTAGCCATATTTTTTGCAGGGGGGGGTCCTTTGGATATGGCTAACATTCTTGCAAAGGGCTTTTTATTTATTTTTTTAAACTGTGGCTGCACCTCCTGTACTTAGATACTAAGAACATGTAAGGCATCTGAATTATACAGCACTGCCGACCATGTAGGAGGTATTTTCGGCATGTCAGGACACCAACAATCAAACTTGTTTGCTCACTATGAAAGTGTGATGGCTTTTCTTTCTATCTAATGCCATCTCTTCCATTAGGTGGTGCCTCGTGTGCAGGGGTGTGTATGAGAGCATATGCACAGATGTGCAGGCACATTCAGAGAACGGGAAAAAAAATTACCAGCGAGTTTCACTGTAAGATTTTTATCTTTTAAGAAAAGACCTCAGGTTGTGCGAGTGTAAACACTCTCGTACATCTAGTGTTTGCCACTTGCAGGTTTTTCCACAGGTTTAAGTGTTTCTTTGCCATTCTACATCACACAGGTGTCTACTTAAAAATGGATGGGTGAGAAGAGCAGATTGCTCAATGCTATCTTTACGCGCCAAAGCATACATTTCTTAACAGCCTCTTGACATTCTTTGACCCTTTTCCGGTGGCAATAACCCGTCGACTCACTGCAGCTCTACAAACTGCTTGCAAGACAACCCAAACCTACATTCCTCTCTCTCCCCCAACCTTGAAGGCCTCAGAAATTAGACCCCTGAAATTCTACAAGGTGCTGATACATGGAGACTCAGGCACATCCAGGGCTCCAACCAATTGCAACGACACAAACCGGGGTGGCGGGGGTGTAATTTCATATCTGTGACTATCAGACTGATAACTACATTTATTTTTGTAAATTAAAGAAACGGAGAAAGTTACCTTCAGTTGTCAGAATTAGGCTACAATCCTAGAATGCCCATGAGGAAGCCAGTCCCACTGAATCCAGTAACACTTAACATGCTTAGGACGAGGGATATCCGACTGGTCTCTTGAGGCTAGGGTTGCCAACTCTAGGTTAGACAATACCTGGAGGCTTTGGGGGGCTAGTCCAGGAGAAGGCAGGGTTTGGGGAGGGGAGATACCTCAACATGGTTCACTGCCGCAGAGTCCACCCTTCAAAGCAGCCATTGCCTCCAAGGGACCTGATCTCTCTCAGCTGGAGATCAGTTGTAAAAGCGGGAGATCCCCAGGCCCCACCTGGAGGCTGGAAACCATGTGCCAATTCCCAAGAGAAAGCAAGGTCAAGGCAGAGAATGTACACCAAGAGGAAAAACTAGCTCTGCTTGGGGGACCCCCGACGTCACTGCAATCTAATCCTTAACACTCGACTAACAGAAATGATCTCTGTTCCCTCACAAATCGACCCAACCAGAGCCAATGTTCCCTCTAAGCCATGGAGTCTTGTGAGCAAAAATCCTACTTTGTGAGCCACTGGCATTAAAGTTGTAAGTTAGCGTATGAGTTGTTTTTTCTAAAGTAAAACCTCAGTATTCAGGTTAAATTGCCGAGCTGGCACTTTGGGATAAATAAGTGGGTTTTGGGTCGCAGTTTGGGCACTCGGTCTCTAAAAGGTTCGCCATCACTGCTCTAAGCTGTGGAGTCTCGTGAGACACTGGCCTTCAAGTTGTGAGCAAGCGATTTGGCCGCTGCATCAATGAGTTTGCTCCGGAGCCCTCCTTCCTGAGCGAAGACAAAAAAGGTGTGAGCAGCTGGGGGCTAAAAAACCGTGAACTCCACTTAGAGGGAACACTGAGTTACCAGACAACTAACATCTGAGCACCAGGCTCTCCCCAAAATTTTGCACGATTTCACAGTCGCGCTCATTCACAATGGCGAAAAACAGCAGCAGCAGCAGCATCCTAGGAACAGACAAATGGGACGACAAGAGCCTCGCCATGCCGGCTCCATCCAGGCACGCCCTCCTACACGCCCGGGAGAATCCACAGGGGGGGGATCAGCAGTTGCTTTACAAAGCACGACAACAAGGCTTGTTGCACTTGGACTGCAAGGAGATCAAATCAGTCAATCCTAAAAGAAACCAACCCTGACTGTTCCCTGGAAGGCCAGATACTGAAACTGAAGCTCAAATACTTTGGCCACCCAATGAGAAGGGAGCCCTCACTGGAGAAGACCCTGATGCTGGGAAAGACTGAAGGTCAAAGAAGACAGGGACGGCAAAGGATGAGATGGTCAGACAGTGTCACAGATGCAACGATCATGAAGTTGAGCAAACTTCAGAGGACGGCGGAAGACAGGAGGGCCTGGCGTGATCTGGTCCAATGCTCCCTCTAAGCTGTGGGGTCGTGAGCAAAAAAATCCTACTTTGTGAGCTACTGGCATTAAAGGCGTGAGCTGGGGGCTAAAAAACCGTGAACTCAGCTTAGAGGGAACACTGAGTTTGGCTGCTGCACAAATCAGTTGGCTCCGGCGCCTTCCTTCCTGAGCCGAGACAAAAAGGTGTGAGCCGGAGGCTGAAAAACTGTGAGCTAGCTCACACGAACTCAGCTCAGAGGGAACCCTGATTCTTGTCCATGGGGTATCGAAGAGACTGTGCGACTGAACAACAACAACAACAACAACAAGGCTACTCCCGGGAGCAACAGGGCGATGGCAATCTCCTCCCAAACCCCCCCGCGAAGAGGCTCTTCCTTCCAAAGGCATCCTCGCCAGCCCCCGACCCTCACCTGATCAGCGACGAGGAGGCGGCGACGAGAGAGGCCAGCAGTAGCAACGAGCGAAGCCCCATGGCGGCGGCGGCTGTGCGGGATTGCAGAGACTCGGTGACGGGCTGAGGCTGAGACGCCGCTCCTGCTCCTGCTGCAAGCCCCGATGCGCTTGTGCCGGCACCCCTGGGCGCCCCGCTGGTATTAAGGGGATGACTGAGCAATCCAGTCCTGTGACTGCCTCGTCAGCTGACCGTCTGGAATTGCAACTGGGTGCCATGTGATCAGAGGAGAGGTGGAGAGAAGCTGTTTAACCCCGGGTATGCCGTGGGAGACCGGTAGAGGGCGGGGGGCGCGGGAGCCCTGCGTGCATGCATGCAATGTGCCTGCACATGTCTCCCAAGGCCGCTTGCTGGGTGCGAGAGAGGGACGTGACTGTTTCGCGCGGCGCGGCCATCGCTAAACATCCATGCAAGCAAGCGCTCCAGAGTCGGCGCTGAAAATGCAAGAGAGAGCGATTGAAAAATAGCGACGGAGGAGGTCTTCTTTTGCCACTTTTGGACACACCGCGCCCTTCACGCAAAAAAACCTCTTCGCTTTGGACGAGATCCTCTGAACGCGCGTTTATGTTTGTTAAGGCTATTGTCGTTCCCACCACTTCGGTTTCAGTGCGCCTTGGTGTTTCATGCCGGCCACATGGCCACGGAAACGTCTTCGGACAGCGCCGGCTCTTCGGCTTCGAAACGGAGATGAGCTCCGCAACCCTAGAGTCGGATTCGACTGGCTTTCGAGCAAAGGAACCTTTACCTATTGTCGTTTCAGCAACGGGTTGCCAGGAAAGGTTCTGTTGCTTCTGACCCATGCTCCCTCTAAGCTGTGGAGTCTTGTGAGCAAAAAATGTACTTCGTGAGCCACCGGCATTGAAGCTGTGAGCGAGTGATTTGCCTGCTGCATAAATTAGCTTGCTCTGGAGCCCTCCTTCCTGAGCGAAGACAGAAATGTGTGAGCCGGAGGCTAAAAACCTGTGAGCTAGCTCACACTAACTCAGCTTAAAGGGAATATTGTTCGAGACAGTTGCCAGAAACAACCATGGGGTGTGATAGTGAGCAAGTTTTTTATGGACATGAAAGACCACATCTGGAGGGGGGGGATGGTAAGACTGCCAACTAGGGTGTTTGTTAGTCACTCTGTATTTCAAAAGAATATGGGTTGCAAGAGAAGAGAGTTACTAACTGTAATAACACACTACAGACGGAACATGCCAACATGGGAGACCACTGATCACTTCCCCATCTTCAAACAACAGTGTTAAATTCATAAGAAATTACTTAACTTCACTAGAACATTATGGAAAATTAGAGCGCATAATAGGTGATTTTAACTACCCACTCATTAATTGGGTCAATATGTGTTCTAGTCGGGAAAAAGAGATTGAGTTTCTAGACACTCTCAATGACTGTGCTATGGAGCAGATGGTCACAGAACCTACCAGGGGAGAGGCATCCTGGATTTGGTCCTAAGTCATACCCAAGACCTGGTGAGAGATGTAAAAGTGATTGCACCACTTGGGAACAGTGACCATAATGTTACTGAGGCCCCGGTCACATAGGTGGTTTTGGGCCGGAAGAGGGACAGATCGGGGGCGCAGCAAACGGGCGCGATCTCACCGCAACATCTGGCAATCAACGCGTCCCCGTCCCCGATCCGGAGCAAAAAACCCCAAGTAAAGAGAAGGACTTACCTGAAATGCCGCAGCAAGCACGGCCATGGGATCGCCGGCCCGTCCGTCGTCAGGAGCATTTGAAGCTCCTGGCCGAACTGCGCATGTGCATGCATGCGCAGCCAGCTGCCTCGGTCTCCCGTCCGTGGCTTCCTCCCCGGCATCTGATCGTGCCGGGGAACAACTGCGCAGTGGCTCAGGGGACCTGTGTGATCCCGCCGCCGCGTGTCTCTTTTGGTGCGGCTCTAAAAAGCCGCACTTTGGCCGTGTTTTTTCCTGCTGTGTGGCAGGGGCCTGAGTTCAGCATTTGTATAAATAGGGAGTTGCCCAAAAAGACTGACACAACCACTTTTAACTTTAAAAAGGGGTAACTTCTCTGATATGAGGGAACATATGAGGAAGAAACTGAAAGAAAAAGTAAAGTAAAGGTAAAGGTTTCCTTGCTCGAAAGCCAGTCGAATTCGACTCTAGGGTTGCGGTGCTCATCTCCGTTTCAAAGCCGAAGAGCCAGCGCTGTCCGAAGACGTTTCCGTGGTCATGTGGCCGGCATGACTAAACACCGAGGCGCACGGAACGCTGTTACCTTTCCACCAAAGTGGTACCTATTGATCTACTTGCAATTTCTTGCTTTCGAACTGCTAGGTTGGCAGTAGCTGGAACTAGAGACGGGAGCTCACTCCATCATGCGGCACCCGGGTCTCGAACTGCTGAACTACTGACCTTCAGGTCTGCAGTTCAGCGTCTTAACCACTTGAGCCACCGCAGAAAGGGTGGAAATGGTCAAAACCATTGGTGAAGCTTGGAGACTATCTAAAACTACAATCCTAGAAGCTCAGAAAAAATATATTCTGTAGGTTAGGGAAGGCACAAATAGGTATAGAAAAAAAACCCTGCATGGTTAACAAAGTAATGGAAGCTGTAGAAGGTAAGAAGGATTCATTTAAGTGTTGGAAAGCTAGTCTCTGGTTGATAAAAGGGAACACAGGCTGTGGCAAATAAAATGCAAGTCTGTGATCAGGCAGGCAAAAGGGGAATATGAAGAGCATATAGCAAAAAACATAACGACCAACAATAAAACTTTTTTCAAATACATTAGAAGCAGGAAACCAGCCAGGGAGGCAGAGGGGTAAAAGGAGTAGTGAAGGATGATAGGGAAATGCCTGAGAAGCTGAATGCATTTTTTGCTTCTGTCTTCACTGTGGGGGGGGGGGGTGTTGAAAGACCTGAGTCAAATTGAGGTGATGAGAGAGGAGGTCCTACGACTGATAGACAATTTAAAAACTGATAAATCATCAGGCCTGGATGGCATACATCTGAGAGTTCTGAAAGAACTCAAATGTGAGCTTGTGGATCTCCTGACAAAAATATGTAATCTTTCATTACAATCTGCCTCTATTCCTGAGGAGGACTGGAAGGTAGCTAATGTCACTCCCATCTTTAAAAAGGGTTCCAGAGGAGATCCGGGAAATTACAGGCCAATCAGTCTGACATCAATACCGGGTAAGTTGGTGGAAACTATTACTAAGGAAAGAATGAGTAGGCACATCGATGAACAAAAACTATTTTAGCAGACTCAGCATGAATTCTATAAGGGGAGATCTTGTCTCACTAACCTGTTAGTGTTCTTTGAGTCCACAAACATGTGGACAAGGGGGACCCAATAGATGTTGTTTACCTTGACTTCCAGAAAACCTTTGATACAATTCCTCATCAAAGGCTCCTAAGTAAGCTCAATAGTCATGGGATAAAAAGACAAGTCCTTTTGTGGATCAAAAACTGGCTAATTAATAGGAAACAGAGAGTGAGAATAAATGGTCAGTTTTCACAGTGGAGGGTGGTAAGCAGTGGAGTACCGCAGGGATCAGTACTGGGTCCGATGCTTTTTAACTGGTTAATTAATGATTTGGAGTTGGGAATAAACAGTGAAGTGGCTAAATTTGTGGATGATATGAAGTTGTTCAGGGTGTTGAAAACCAGGGAAGATTGTGAGGCACTCCAAAGGGATTTGTTGAGGATGGGCGAGTAGGCGTCAACATGGCAAATGGGGTTCAATGTGGCCAAGTGCAAAGTGATGCACATTGGAGCCAAAAATCCTAACTATAAATACACGTTGATGGGGTCCAAACTGACAGAGACTGACCAAGAGAGAGATCTTGGAGTCATAGTAGATAACTCAATGAAAATGTCGAGTCAGTGTGTGATTGCAATAAAAAAGGCCAACGCTATGCTGGGGATTATTAGGAAGGGAATTGAAAACAAGTCAGCCAGTATCATAATGCCCCGGTATAAATCAATGGTGTGACCGCATTTGGAATACTGCGTACAGTTCTGGTCACCACACCTCAAAAAGGATATTATAGCTTTGGAAAAAGTGCAGAAAAGGGCAACTAGAATGATAAAAAGGTTGGAACACTTTCCCTATGAAGAAAGGTTAAAGCGCTTGGGGCTCTTTCGCTTGGAGAAACGACAGCTGAGGGGGTGACATGATCGAGGTTTATAAGATGATACATGGGATAGAGCAGGTAGAGACAGAGGTACTTTTCTCTCTTTCTCACAATACAAGAACTCGTGGGCACTCCATGGAATTGCTGAGCGGTCGGGCTAGAACGGATAAAAGGAAGTTCTTCTTCACCCAAAGAGCGATGAAGACATGGAATTCATTGCCACAGGAGGTGGTGGTGACTACAAGCACGGACGGCTTCAAGAGAGAATTAGATAAACATATGGAGCAGAGGTCCTTCAGTGACTTCTCTTATGTTCTTATAAGCTTTATTTATTGGGAACCAGCATGTTGTAGTGATTAAGAGCAGTGGATTTCAGTCTGGTTTGATCCCCACTCCTCTACGTGAAGCCTGCTGGGTGACCTTGGGCCAGTCTCTGATCTCCTGCTGACAGAGATCAGCTCACCTGGAGAAAATGGCTGCTTTGGAGGGTGGACTCTATGGCACAGGGGGGCGGGTGGCACAGTGGGTATATCCCACTGTCTTAACATCCAAACTGTGCTAGTTCGAGCCCCGCGCTGGTGTGAGCAGCCAGCCTGTTGTCCCCAGCTCATCGTCCACCCAGCGATTCGAAAGCTTTGGCGAGTAGATAAAATGGGAACCACTCCTTAGAGAGGGTGGGCACACCAATCTCCCTTGTGGGAGGGTGTTAGCTGACGGTCGGGACGTCCTGGTCGAGGTTCGGAAAAGGCGGAAGAACTTCTCGGCTACAAAAATCCCTGCAGTGGATGTTTCCAGCCAGGCGGTGGCAGTGTGGCAATTTGACATACGGGTCCTGAAGCCTGGTCAACAAGCAGCCATTCGGAAAATGACTGAGCCAAGCCAGAAGACGTTTACACCATGCAGTGACAGTGTGTGCAATTAAATGAATATATGTTGTCTTCCCTATCTCCTATGAACATTGTTAGTCCCGTCTAAAATGTGTACATGGCTTTGAGCCCACTGGGGAAAGCAATTAATAAATTGAAAGTATAATAATAATAATAAGTATATAATAATGCTGAGGCTCCACCCTCCTCAAA